CAACACATACACAGAGTGTGAACTGGAAGGGTATAAGAAGTTAAAAAAAGAAAGAAAGAAAGAAAGAGAAAGAAAGAGAGAAAGAGAGAGAGAAAGAAAGAGAAGAGAAGAGAAGAGAAGAGAAGAGAAGAGAAGAGAAGAGAAGAGAAAATAGGAAACTACTGCATCAGTATGTTTATGTGAATATTCGGAACTAAAAAATAAGAGTATCAATGGGGAAGCAAGGACAGATGGGAAATGTTAAGAACACTAAAGAGTAAAGTGTTAAGACTTGGCAATTGATTATGTGGGAAAGAAATAGGACCTGCGTAGTGTCTTCACATTTCCTGGAACATGGTAGTATTCTTCACCATGACAGAATACTGAAAAAGGAACAAATTTGTAGGAAAAGATTACAGGTTCATTTTAGGAGAGGTTGAATTAGAGGTATTTGTGGAATTTAAAGTAAAGTCTCAGAGCCAATATATATATACATGAGCTTGAAGTTCAAGAATCATGTTCAGGATAAAGATAAAGATTGGATAATGGATGAGGATCAGGGAAAAGCATCATACTGAGCAGGTCATGAAAACTGCGAAAGACCAGAATGGGAGGAGCGGGGAACCACCAACGTACAGGACCACCAGAAAGTGAGGGGACAGTGGAAGGAGTGGGTACAAGAGGAAGGAGAGGTAGACTGAAGAGACTAGGTCTTAAGAGTTTAGGCTAAAAAGGATTAGAAATATGACTGTCATCACTGTTCAGATACCATAAATGTTGATTGAATTTGGCATTTAGAAGACATTAGTAACTTATTCTATCTTCAGAATGGTCTAGGTCACTTTGCAAACATGCTGTGTCTGCTGGTCCCTCTTCCTTTCAGGAGAAACCTGGGTTATGGCTGTGCACATGACAGCCTAGCTAGTCCTTGTATTAATATCTCAGCTTCCCTTGCATAAAGTATGGTCGTGTATCTTAAGTTAGAGCTAATGGGGTGTGCACAAGATATGCATCACTTCCATACTGTCGCCCAACATAGGAAGCCACTTCCTGTAGACTTTTCTCCAGCCAGCAGGCTGGAAGCAGAGACAGAGGTGGGCTGGCTTCACTTAATAGGATGAGGAGAGAACCCGTGGGAGAGTAACAAAACGGAAGGAATTTAGATCTTTAGATGACCTTATGAGGCAGGGCCACTCTACCAGACTTAAAACTACACTGTCCCATGATAGAAAACTGAGTTAACTTATATAGTTTGATCTGTGGTGTTTTATGTTCTCTTTGTTACAGTGATTTATCCTAATAATAAATAGTTCACAGTTTGTTATTTGTAAGTGAATGAACAGGCCTGAGGAAAATTCAGCTTGATACTGTGGGTGTTACCTCTTGATTCTGTGATACAGGATTATGTGTCACATTTGTTATCACAGGGTTGTTGTAACAGAACAGAAAAATTAATCCTGGTAATCTACAAGGTGCCACAGTGAGCAGTGTTCACCTAGAAATAATTTAAACATTGCTTACATGGTTACAATATAAAACTCATCAATACAACACAGACTAGACCGGGTTCTACAGACCAGAATGTAACCGTTAACCTTGACAGATCAGAGAGGTAGCAGGTTAGAAAGTGGAGAGTGATGGGAAGGCAGAGAGAGCATCTATTTTTTTTTCTTTTTTTCAGGGCTTTTGACATAGGATGTAAGCGCTTGCAGGAGGGAGACAAACGGAAAGTGAGAAGTCACCCCACCCCACCCCACCCCCAGGGGGAGATAGCCAGGCCCCAATTCCGTCTCCATTCTTCTGGGATTTGGGGCATAATGCACACATGCCTAGCATGATTTTTAAACCGCCAGGTCCAGGACTTGAACCTCAGTCGGCCATGTGGGAGTCCAGTGCCTTAACCACCACACTACCTGCTGGCTCTAAGAAAGTATCTTATAAAATTATGAGAGATGCAATATTGTCAAAATTGATGAACAAGAAATTAACATTTAAATTTATAGAGAAGCAAAATGATTTCATAAGAAACTGGGAGGGTCTGAGTAAGGGAGGTAGTGGTGAAGCAGAAGCCTTGTTTATGTATCAGGATATCAGAAGGTAAGCTCTAATGTTATTAGTTCCTACAGTAGCATGAGTAGATTCAAAGTGTGAGTAGACGCAAAGCTATGAAAATAATCACTAGAACTAAAGACAGTTACAAATCGTTTCCCCAAGGAAAAGATGGAGCCAGGTATACCTCAGTTCTGGCATTAATTGAATCTAGTACCAAAAGAAAAAAAAATCATTTTCTTTTAATATACAAGTTGACAAAATTGATTCATCTCTTTTCAGCTTGACTCTGTTAGATTTATGCTTAAGTAGTTCATCCTTGTTGATGCCTCTTACAAGATGCTGATTTCATTTTTGAATTGTTAACACCATCATTATGAAATGTCTCCCTTTGTCTCTACTTATATTTATCTTAAAGTTTCTTTTGCCTGATGTAAATATAGTCACTCTAGTTTCCTTGTGGTTACTCATTTTTAAAAGAAACACATATTAGAACAAAATGGAACATAGAAACTAAATTTTTAATACTAGAGTAGAATTAGGAGTTTTCAGGACGAGCAGTTGGTGTAATGGCTATGTCGCTAGACACCCATGTAGCCGACCGGAATTCGAGTCCAGGACCCGGTGGCTTTAAACTCACGCTGGGCACATGTGCGTGCGTGCCCAAGATCCCGAGAGGAGAATGGAGGAGAAGGGATTGTAGCATGGCCATCCCCCCTGGGGGGTGATTTCTCACTTTCTGTCTGTCTCTATGGCAAGTGCACATGCCCTATAGCAAAAGCTTCTCAAAAAAAAAAAAAAAGGAGTTTTGTGTTTTTCTGCGTATTCTGAATTTTTTGTTGTAAGTTTGTATTATAATAGGAAAAAGGGTGATTTGTATATACTTTTAAAATACTTTATCAGCTACATTTTTTTTTGGTTGCAAATAATTTTCAGAAATTTATTTCAACAAGTAAAAAAGGAGTTTTGAAAAGGTACCAGACTAGTCAATAGGAAAGGTGGAGCCCAGGCTGAAAAGAGATGGAAGTTGTGGTGACTGCAGGGTGGGTGGCAGGAGCTTGTCAGCTTGTTTCACCTGGGTGATACCACAGGGCTAAATCCACTCTAACTTCTTGCATTCTATCTCCATCTCTGCAATAAAGATAAACTGTAGGAGCAAGTATTCTGCCTGAGTTACATGAAGCTTTGACATTGAGAGTGCCTGACACCTTGATTTGTAGTCTCTCAGTTCACGCAATAGGGACAGATGATTCCCCAAAATGATATTAGGGTGATGTTATCAAAAGAAGAGAAATAAATTCTGGTAGCTAAAAAACAACAGGTGTTCACTACGGTATAACTTTTTGCTCATGCAGAATTAGTTTATAGTGCTAGCTATAAAGAAAAAGCAGCCACCAAAATAAACAAGAATTAGTTTTGAATACAGTGATCTCAGTTTTCAACATTACATATAGTGCAGGATTCGTGCATTGAATTGAAATTCTCCCATTTCTCTCCTACTGGACTATAGGTTTCTGGTCTTCCATTAAATAGTTCAATTCAGTTAGAAAATGAGGAAATGGAGACTTGAGGAGGGTTTTGTGGTAACTTAACATGTCCTAGAGTGTGTGTCATTTCCTCCTCCCTGGAATACCTGACAAGCTTGGATCTTGTCAAGATGCATCTCAAGCATAACCTCATCCAGGAAGACTGTCCCTTATGCCATGGGCCACTCAGGCTGTGTACAGTACTGTTAACTGTTCTCTTCCCACTGTGTTAGAAGAGTTGCTTTGTCACCCACGAGCCAGAATGGCAGATTCTCTCTTGTTTTTCTTGGTTTCTCCGATCTCTTACATGGTATCTCCACATCAAATATTGAGTAAATATTTGTTGAATGGGTGAATAGATGAATTTGCCAGAGAAAGAGGATAAGGCATTAGAGCCCAACATGTGTAAAGGCATGACACTGGACCTGTTCAGTACCTGGTGAGTATACTGTAGGTTAGAGCACAGAAAGAGTAGCAGTAAGAAAGACTAGTACATAAAGGACCATTTATGTTCAGTTTAGATAGTTCTGTGGGCTTGAGGAACTAGCAGAAGAATGAGTGAGATTTGGAAAAGGAGCAGGGCAGGACACTAGAGGCTGTGTGGGAACAGACTGTTGGGGCTGAAGCTAGCGTGGAGAACCCTCAGGTGGTAGAACAGTGTTGTCTCAGCATTTAAATGTTCAGAGCTGGACTGGAAGCATATCCAACTACCATGAACTAGGCCCTTTGTCTAGGTGCCAGAGACACACTCATGAGTAATATGGACAGAAGTGCTGCTCCCATGGAACTTCCACGCTAGACAGATAAAACAGCATACAGACCACGGAGGTATAAGTACATGTTCTCGCTGTGAAAATGCCATGTTGCGGGTAAAATGTTCCAGGAGAGTACAGCCCAGGTTAAGCATACGGAACAGTCTGCTCTCTGCACTGAAGCTTCCCTAGAATGTAGAAGGAAACCTTACAGCCCACATCACAGTCATTTAATGACCAGTACTGTGTACATCCCTAATGGAGTGATACTCAGACTCTACAGAGGGGGCTGCATAGAAGGAAAAAACAGTTTGTCACAGCATACTTTGTTTAGCAAGTGACTTTTTTCTTCTTTTGTAGTGCCACATACGTGTTCTCCTGATTTTAATATTTCCTAAGGCTTAATGGAGTAAATAAATATGAGAGTATAATTAAAAGCCAGTCATTGCTTATGTTACTAGCAAGTTGTGTTTGTGGCTTATTCTGGTGTCTGAAAAACAATGGCATTTTTGCAGTTTAATCCATAATCTTGCCAATGTTTTTGTTGTTTGTTGTTCTGTAATGGAATAGACTCAGTCATTAAAGGACTTTTTAATTCTTGATGTAGACATTGGCCTCTGTCGTGCAATCTAATCTTACATCTCTTCTCGGTGATGGGCCCATTTGATGCTGAAGGCTTTTCCTATCTTTCCAGGGTGCTGACAAGACTGTGAAAGGTCCAGATGGACTGACCGCCTTCGAAGCCACGGACAACCAGGCAATCAAAGCTCTTCTCCAGTGATGGCTGGATGGACTGATAACTCGGGAAGAACGACTCTCCTGTGGCCTCACACTGCTGCCTGTCTGTCTGTCACTCTCTATCTGCCAGCTTCTTCAGCTAAATACTTTAAGAGGGGTGAGGGGAGAGAAACTCATAACAAATCAGACTACCAGAAAAAAAAGTTTTGGAAGAGGGGGAAAAGGCCATGATCAGGCTTTTACTGGGATTCCTGATCAAGGCAACCTCTTTTCCATTTCTGATAAAACGTACAGCTTATACCCAAGGGAGAGGAAAGACAAAACATACTGGTAACATTTGACCCTTTCAGCTCCCTAGCTCACTTACTAATTAGATTGTGTCGAAGGTCTGATTATACAAAGGCCAACTCTGCATATTTGGTAGCCCTAGCTGTGTGAGCAGTAGCGGCTGCTGCCATGTAAACTTAGGGTGCTGAGATAAGCAATCAGCTATAGCCTTCTGCCTTAAGAATGCACTCTACTGGGGACTTCCTGGCATAGTTAAGAGCGCTGCCTGTGGTTGGTGACCAAATCTTTCCTCAGTGACTTCAGCTTTATGTGAAAGCTCAGTTAAGGTGAGGAGGGGCCCACTCCTAAATTGCTGGATGACTGAACTTTGGATTTTCTCTTCCCTTTCACATGAATTTCATGTCTCTTTAGATAAGACTGACTAGTTTTATTTATAAAATCTTAAATTTTGGAGGTCTAAAGGAGAAATCATTCCAGTATGCATATTTTTTTCTCCTCTAGATTCAGATATTTATGTAACATTGAAACACTTTCAAACACTTGCTGGTAGTAAAAGGGGATTAAAAATAGAATCATAGCCATAAGCCTGTTAGTCTCACATAAAAAGAGAGAACAGCTGTCTTAGTACCTATGGATTTCTTCATTTGCTGTTTGAATGGATTGACTTTGGTTGTGTTTGGAGAATCAAGGATTATTTTTGGATTGCCTCTCTCAGACCCATCTTGGATGCTGATTACATACTGCACCAAAGGTAAAACTGGGGTGAGATTTACTATTTAGATTAATTTAATCCCATCCCTTCGAAAATCTTGTTACCAAATTTGTTACCAGGTTTCCCCGATTTATTGATAGGCTTCTGCTGAACATATGCTAACCCACCTGCATAATATATTTTTATTTCTTCTACAACTCATGCATTGCATAAAGCATGACAACTTCAAAATAGATTCTGTGTTGTTAGAATACAGTGCCCTCAAATGGTGGTGTAATGACCTGAAGAAATTTAAGACACATCTTTCAAATGTTCATTTCATGTGCAGTACAGTTAATTAAATCATTTAATAACTTTGATACCTTGCATCCAAAATAATAAGTCTTTCAACTTGCCATCCATATAAACTTACTAAAAATATTCGGGTTTTTCCTTGGCCAAGTCATGCAATAATTGAATGTACCTCAAATTTGTAAAGGGGGCAGGGTAAGTTAGGGACTTATATTCAGATTGTGGATAAGAAGGAATTAAAGGTATTTTAAGGCAATGTAGCATTTTACAGCAGGATCAAACTATTACCAAGAATAGCTCAGCTATTAAGTTTTATTGACTGGTTTCTGGTTGGTTGGTTGGTTGGTTGGTTGTGTGTGTGTGTGTGTGTGTGTGTGTGTGTATTTCCCCCATAGACCTTTTTTTTAATCCTATGACTTTTTCACTTATAACTAGCCTAACCCTCTAATTTTCCTACATCCAAGAAAACAATCATAAAGTAGTGGTTTAAACATATTATCAACTAATTCTGCTGTCTTAATGCAATCTATTAGAGTTGGATCAAAAGTCAGTAATCAGTACTTTATCACATCACTAAACTAAAATATGGAGATATCCTTACTGAAAATGGAGGGCACTTTATCAGTCTACAAGTATCAACATAGTGCAACAGAGTGTTTTAATATCTTTGTTTTCACCTCTTGGCATAATGTTATTTAAAAGGCTTGAATTTTGCCCTTTACACGATTTTTATCTTTACTTTAAAAGTGTTTTGTTGTAGTTGGCTATTGCAGAGAGTGCATTGTCCTATCATTCCTAAACCTGGCCTGCTTTTACGGTCTTTACGGTATAGAAACCATGTGATTCTTTGTACAGTTTATCCTGACGTTCCTTGTAATGCAGTAGAGGCTATTTCGCCTTCCCTCCTTTCTTAGCCATTTTGTAAACCCCATAATTATGAAACGATTGCTTGAGAAAATAACATGTAAACATAGATAGAATAGACTGACCAAGATGGTTTACAATTTTTTTTTAAACTAGGTTATTTATAATGTACTTCTGAACCACTTGGCAGAGATATTCACAACACTTAATGTTCATCTTTTGAGTAAAGGAAGCTAAAACCATGACTGCTTTTTTGGTACTTCATGCATTTGCAAAAGGTTTTGTTCTCCGCTGAAGTAATAGTTAACATCTCAGAAAAAAAATCTTGCATGTTCTGTAGTTTTGTATTAAATCAGTCATTTTGTATGCACTATATATCAAATACAGACAGGTGTTATGCCTGTTGACAGTAGTGTACTAACGAATTCCCCTTTGCAGCTTCAGACCGATGTCTGTAGACGTATAGTGCAAATGCGGTGCCCAGCTATCCGTGTGTTCTGTGGATAGCTCACCTTTCTAGGCCTAGCTGGTCACAGCAGAAAGGTAGGGAGGTAGATGCATTGTATAGAAGCTGCAAACAAGTAGGTCCTTTATTCATTGTTTTTCTTTCCCCAAATAATGCATTTTAAATTTGTATGTACCTATTTGAATTTTTTTTTCCTAAAACTTAAACTGAGCTGCTGTTTTCTTCCATGCAATATTGTATACTCAATTGTGTATAGAAGAAGCTGGTGAGAGTGCCCTCCTACATAAATAAGCAATTGCAGTGTTTTGCATGCAAATTTTAAAAAATTAAATTGTCCTCTGATTCTATTTTGTAAATGGAGAAACAATCATATCTTTCTAAGCAGTAATGGAGGAAGACTAGTGCTTTGTGCATTTTGATATATTTGAGTTCATTTTTCCACAATGTCATACTTTTTGACACAATTGGGTTTCTCATACGTATCCTAGTTCATGTACATCCGAATGCTAAATACTGTGTTTAAGTTCTGTGTTGCAAGAACAAATGGAATAAACTTGAATTGTGCTACAGCTAACGTGCCAGCCACATTTTTCTCCTTCAGTTACTGTTACTTTCCTTTTCCAGTCTCCATACCTATACCAGAACCCGATCGACTCAAACTGTTAATGAAGCTAAATTAACTTATTCTGCTTCTAGAAAAAAATGTAGAAAATAAAACATATCAAAGATTTCATTCAAATAACCCATACTAGATATTGAAAGGTTTTGCTTTGTATTAGTCTCCTGTTATAAATTGTTTGACTATAAATGTTCAGTAACCCTCCTGGCTGACCTGTATTTTTTATTTTTCTTTCTTTATATTCATCACCCTCATACTATCCAACTAACTGTTTTATCTTTCAGGTCAGTTATCTTCCCCAGGTACTAGCCAAATCATCACACATCAGCCAGGGGATATTTTCCTTCAAGGCTTTCACTTGATTAAATATAGCTACTGATTTGAGAAGAAAATTTGCCATCAGCTTTAATAGTACGTGATACACAGTAGACATTCATTGTATTTATTGTGAACTATTGTACAGTCAGATGTGACAGCAGCTTTGATTCAGTAAATCTCATCTGAGAAAATGCTGAGTCTAGAACCATGAGGCTACCTGATCGTCAGTGTCGTCATATGTTCGCCAGGCAGACTCATAAGTATGCGTGATATTGTAAAACCCAGATTAATGAGGTGAAGGCACCACAGAGTCACCAAGGTTTGAAGAAATGCTGCCCATAGGGTCAAGTGCAGGTCACAGCCATTGTGACATGTACTGGAGCACAGCTGTAAATGGCATAGCAAAACAAAGGACTGTCCACCACCCCCAGCAACTTCTGTGTATTTAGCAGCTGCAGCAACAAGGATAGTCTAATTTACATGGTTTGGCTACAACAGTGAGTCACATGTCTGGCATAGGAATAGTGTCTTGTCACACAAAGGAAAATAATTCATCGACAATTCCTAGCCACTAGATGTCGGTTTTGAGCGTACTACTGGATAACTTAAAAACAATTTTAAGCTGTGTCTATGGTTTTCCTAGCTAGTCTGAAAATGCAGTACGTATCTGTCTCTGTACGTCCTGATATCTGATAGTTTTGTGTGTGCCTGCACATGCGCTGCGACAAGCTACCAAATCTGTTGCTCTTGCCTGTCATTTGCTAGTCAGACTTCAGTAAGCTTGAACATACTCAGATCTAAATTAGTTTATGTTAATTTTCCAATTAAAAGTTCTTGAAATTATTTCATAAGACTGGGCCTGGAAACATTTTTATGTGCCCATTCTTATAAAAAAAAAAATAAGGCAGAGTTTTATGATGTTTTGGTGTTTGTATGAGAATTTACTGTGATCTGGGCACCATTCTAAGTACCTTATGTGAACTAAATCATTCGATCTTCCCGATAACCCTATGAGGTAGGACTATAGTCCCTATTTTCAGATAAGGAAACTAAAGCCTAGAGAACTGAAGTAACTTGCCGGTGGTCACACAGCTAGTTAGTAGTAGAGCCAAGCAGTCTGACTCTGAAGTATGTGCTTCCTGCACCTACATTACATTGCCTACCCACCTTGCACTGGACCAACTCAAAGCATTTTATTCTATGAACATAGCTTTTCCTAAGACTCTTAAAAAGATACTTAGAAAGCATTTTATGATTTTTTAAAAGTAGAAGAAAAAGATTAATGTAGCATGCATTAGTTAATCCCCTCCCATGATGAAATCAGATTCTACAAACACCATTTCGTTTCAGATCTGCAAAATAGCAGTGCTTGACTGTGATAACAATTCTTTTGGCAGCTTACAAACTTATGATGGAATCAAGAATTGGCAAATTATGGCATATAGGCAAAATCTGTCCTGGTGCCTAGTTTTGTAAATAAAGTTTTATTGGCACACAGCCATGCCCATTCACTTATGTATTGTTTAGCACTGCTTCCACACTTCAGCCGGAGGGGCGAGTAGTTGTCAGCAGGAGGGGTGAGTAGTTGCAGGATTCATTAAGTCCAAAGACTTACTATCTGGCCCTTCACAGAAGTTTGCCAAACACAGATGTAGAGGTTTAGGTGACATAGGTTGAGAAATACTGTTTAAAGATATGAGAAATACTCTCTAAGATGAGTCAGCACTTAGTTATAGAGGGATTAGCAAAGCCATGGAGGAATGTAATGAGTTACAAAGCCAAGTTTCTAAATAGTGCACCTGCCTTTAAACCTGTGATAGATTGTTCCAACACTGAGTCCCAGTGGATCATGGCCTACCCCTGTGTGTATCCTTGCTTAGTCATTTGCAACACTGGCTCTTGAAGTTAGCCAGGTGACTTGCTTGGCTCAAATGGGATATCAGACATGAAACCAGCAGAAGTTTGACAAGTGCCTCCTCACTTGGCTGGCCTAATGGAAAGTGACTGAAGTCATACTGCAGGAAAGGCTCTATGAAGAATTGAGGTGCCCCAGCCAACAGCCCCAGCTAAACCTGAACATGTGAGTGGGCCATGTGGGACCATCCAGCTTCAGCCAAGCCCCAGCTAGCTGCAGCTGCGTGAATGACCAAGGGGAGACCAGCAGGAGAACCACCAGCTGAGCCGAAGTCTACACTGCAAATGGTGGCCAGTAAAAAGTAGTTTTAAGCCTCCAAGTTTTAGAGTAGATTTTAGTGCAATAATAGGTAATGACAACAACACCCTAGCTGAAGGATGTCTAGTAACAAGATGAGCATCACCTGCAGTCAAGAAAATATGTCTAAATAATAAAATCTATCCAAAAAACAAAAAAAAAAATGATACCTGTGAGACACCAAGCAAATACCATTAAGGACCTAGGATTTTTTTTTAACTTGAAGGAAAGAAGGATTAAAAAAAAAAAAAACCTTTTGCCTAGGAAGGATTAGGTGCTGTAAAGAAAACTCTTGACTGGGTACACAAGTGACTGTCCAGGATCTAACAGGCTGGAGGCCTGGAGGAAGGAGATGTTGTGACCCTGCGGTGGGTCCTCCTATCATGCGTGCACACATTATATCATGAATAAAGAAAAACAATCTCTTGTGTTGCTATAGAATTCTTTTTTTCCATTTCTTATCTGCCCAAACAGTCTTCATACTTGAAGACTTTCCTTTTCTGCCTGTTAGACTAAGAGGCTAGCAGGCTGGCATGCGCTAACTGCTAAGCAATGTATTTTGCCTTGAAGCAAAGCAAAATGTAATGAGGGAAATGTGCCTTAAATAGCAGCTAGGGGTGTACAAGGGGCCAGCATGGCGTGGAACAAAGGGGAGCTCCCGTGTTGAGTTTTGCCTGGGATTCCCACACTAACCATGGTGCTATCAAGGTGTGGGCGTGCAGGCTGCACCAGGGTGGCAGCAGAGCAGGACAAGCACATTTTCAGTGATGTGCTTGTCCCAGTACAACCTCTCAGCCAAGACCCAGGAATCATTTCTAAACAGCCTCCTTGAGACCTGTTAGCTCCAGAAGCTGACACATGCCTCTCCCTCGTACAGAGACAAGAAGGGAGGAAAAAAAAAAAAAAAAAAGAGCAGGAAGGAGAGAAACGA